CGTGAGAATTGATCGTAATAGATACGGATCTGAATAAGCGACTGGAACACGGCTGTTTGTCAAAAGCATACGATTTCGAACTCGCGTAAATGTACATTTGCTAAATGCGATAGCATGAACGCTCTTCGAAAACATATGTTCGAAAGTGGTAAATGTTGCATTTTAAATGCAGCAAAAACGCTGCGTTATTACATACATTGGTGATGGGTCTGGTCCAATCTTCTTCTTATTTGGCGCTATAACCATATAAGTGATTTTTTCCGAGTCTAATGGGCTGTTTTTGCTTACGCGTAAAAGCACATTTAACTCTAAATGCTACTCTAAAAGTACATTTATCCATACAAAATTCGTCACCTAAATGCAATTAAATGCAACTCCATTTTTGCATTAAGAATCTAAATGCTGAAAGCAACCCTGTGATCTTCCAAGATTTCCACGATTCGAACATGGTTCAATGAGAAAAAGTGGCAACCTTGCTTTTTCGAGTATACAGTGGTTAGCTGCGTTTCAGTGATCGCTGATCGAGATTTCATTTATCGTTTTACATTATTTGGATAAAGAAAAGTTAAACAAAGGGCCTGTGCCAATTGATAGAAAAGTTCTCTGGATAGTAAATTTTTGACAGCTATGAGGTGAATAAAAATGTTTGATACGGCAGGGCTAGTGAAAAATTTGACAGCAAGCATTATCAAGAAGAAGAACGAACAACGCACGTATACACATAAATTAAAGAAAACAAAAGCGAGTGGAAATAAAAGAACATGGTCCCGCCGGCAAAAAAAATAAAGAAAAGCTATATAACTTGTAAGATTTAATTTCAGATTTACATATGAAAAGGCGTTATGTATTTTTTTAATTAAAAATACTATTTTACAGGGAGCAGTTCAGAACGCAGAATCCTTCTGGAAAAGCGCATTGACAAGGATGTTTGGTTCAGTTCAAAGAACGCCAACAGCAACGAAGGCTGGAAGTGAGTAAGAACAATATAAATAATTTGAAGACTTTATTAAGCAAATGACTTCGTACTCCACTGACCATCCGTGGCGCTTTTTGGGAATGTGAGTTACAATTTTTCGAAACGAAGCAGAGGACAACCTAAGATACATTTTTGTAGTCTTGTTATCGCCGTTCATAATGCTGCTTAGTATTTTGGAATAAACGTCTTGTTGCATGTACATAATACCCTAAAACGACATATGTTTTTATTGGAAACAATTGTACACGGTTTTAAACATTTTTGTGAACACACTTACCAGACGGTTTTGACGTGTTTTTATTTCTAATATTACTGCTAAAAGGTCTAATAAATGCATGGATTTCAGTTCCAGAAGAATTGAAATCATCAAAGGCAAATATTTTCTATATAATTGCTGCATTTTATAAATAGCAAACTCGATAGTCTTCTTGTGCATCAAAGCAACTGTCAAAAATTTCCAGCAGTAAAAAGTTACGAATTGGCACAGCAGAAATGTAAAATTTTCTCACCATAGTAAAAAGTTTTTCCACCATAGAACTTTTCTATCAATTGGCACAGGCCCAAATTCCACATCGATGTGATGCTGATAGAAATCTGGATCAATTTGTGATCAACTCTCTTTGTTTTGTTTCCTAATTAAGTAAGGAAATTTTAATTGACAGCACCGACAAATGTATATATACACAAACAAATGGTCGGTTATGGTTAAAACAATTAAAGTTTTTGTATTTGTAGTTTTGGCTTAAAATTTATTTTTTCCGTTTCAGTAGGGTTTTTGCACATTATCTTCTGCCTGAGAGTTGATCGTAATAGATACGGGTCCGAATAAGCGACTGGAACACGGCTGTTTGTCAAAAGCATACGATTTCGAACTCGCGTAAATGTACATTTGCTAAATGCGATAGCATGAGCGCTCTTCGAAAATATATGTTCGAAAGTGCTAAATGTTGCATTTTAAAAGAGGCAAAAACGCTACATAAAGCAGTACGTCAGTCGTTTCACTTCTGGGCCAACTGACGCGGTAAATGCCTGGTGAAGCCAAATCCTTCTCCACTTGGTCCTTCCATCGCAGTGGGGCATCCATCTTCCACAATCGCGACCCACGTTTCATACTCTCAGAGCTGGAGCGTTTCTGTCCATTCGTACAACATGACCAAGCCAGCGTAGCCGTTGTATTTTGACTCGCTGCACTACATGAACCAAAAATACAAGATCACGTAAGAACGCGACGTTGTATTTGTAACTGGTTTTGAGAAAAAAGTTTGTGAAAGCGGGTTCGTCAGCTGAGCGTTTGTTTACATCACAGGCACCACTATTTTACACTTTTATTCAAGTAAAGAAGAGTTAATTCAACATGACAACACGTTTTAAAGCATTTTGTTGCATCATTTTACCTAAATTGTGCGTTTAAAGTGGCTGACAATAATTTTGGCTAATTTTGGTTTTCGTTGTTTTCTTTGCTTTGTTTTGTTTTTGGCTCGTTTTCCAGTGAAACAAGATGGCGTAAAACCCGCTAAAAAAATCGACTTTTTTCACTCTCTTGTTCTTACGTGGTCTTGTGTCTTTCGTTCATGGCTGCACTATATCCATGCCGTTGTAAAGCTCATAGAGCTCACGTTCCATCGTCTGCGGTACTTGCCGTCGCCAATGCGTAACGGTCCATAAATCTTTCGGAAAATCTTTCTCTCGAAAACTCCAAGAGCCGCCTCATCAGATGTTTTCATTGCCATTGACTATTGTGAGATGACCGGAAATACTTCGTTTTGTCCCCGTTCACCATCAGACCCACATGCTTTGCTTCTCTTTCTAATTCCGAAAAGGCTGCGGTTCAGTTATGTGACTCTTATTAGTTGCGTTTAAACATTGCCATTCTTTCGTGTGTGTGTCCAAGGAATTTTGACATCTGCTACTTCACCAGACTGTGGCCTGACTCTTGCCTCAAGAGATAATGGAACGGGCATATGTATATTTCTGGCTTTGTTGCTTTTCTTTTCTAGCAGATAATTATCAGGAAGAAGAAGAATGAGAAAATTGAAAGAATTATGTAGCGTTTTTGATGCATTTAAATGCAACATTTAGCACTTTCGAACATATATTTTCGAAGAGCGTTCATGCTATCGCATTTAGCAAATGTACATTTACGCGAGTTCGAAATCGTATGCTTTTGACAAACAGCCGTGTTCCAGTCGCTTATTCGGATCCGTATCTATTACGATCAACTCTCAGGCAGAAGATAATGTGCAAAAACCCTACTGAAACGGAAAAAATAAATTTTAAGCCAAAAATTCAATACAAAAACTTGAATTGTTTTAACCATAACCGACCATTTGATTGTGTATGTATACATTTGTCGGTGCTGTCAATTAAATTTTCCTCACTTAATTAGGAAACAAAACAAAGAGAGTTGATCACAAATTGATCCAGATTTCTATCAGCATCACATCGATGTTGAATTTGCTTAAATTTTCTTTATCAAAATAATGTAAAACAATAAATGAAATCTCGATCAGCGATCACTGAAACGCAGCTAGCCACTGTATACTCGAAAAAGCAATGTTGCCACTTTTTCTCATTGAACCATGTTCGAATCGTGGAAATTTTGGAAGATCACAGGGTTGCTTTCAGCATTTAGATTCTTAATGCAAAAATGGAGTTGTATTTAATTGCATTTAAGTGACGAATTTTGTATGGATAAATGTACATTTAGAGTAGCATTTAGAGCTAAATGCGCTAAATGTGCTTTTACGCGTAAGCAAAAACAGCCCATTACCTTCGCAGAGGGCGAAATAACGAAAAAGTAAAGAAACGCAAAACTAGCAGAAACTAGCAAGTAATCAGCTGATCGGTGTATTTGACTAATGAAAATATTTGGCGCGAATTTTTGTTTATCCATTTTGACAGCCAAAAAAAGAAGAGGGTAAGAACGAGAGAGAGCTGCTAGTTTCTGCTAGCTTTTTGGGTTAAGAAACGCTTTCCAGCAGAAATTAGTGATAATTTGTGATAATTATCTGTTAAGAAACAAAGCTTCTGTTGCAAGCATGGGTTGCCTTGTGCTCTTTTTTCAAAAAAAAATTTTTAGAAAAGTGTAGTAGAAAGCGGAAAATTTCTTAAGAACTGCGTACTGCCTCAAGAAAATTTCTTTGCCATTTCTTGTACGTCATTTTATATGGACTTTTGCTTTTCTTGAGAGCTTTATACAGGTCTTAAAATGTATATCGTTGTTGAAAGTGCAAAACCGCGTATGTAAGGTTGCATAAATTATTTTCTGGAGAGTAAAAACACTGATATTTCAAAATGGTTCTCTTTTTTATAAAGCAATCGCATTTTTGGCTAGTATATTTCGGGACAAATGGATAAGGATTGAGCCAAGAGCTCGTGTGAGCAAATCCAATTTTTGGCAGCAAATGTCAATTACGTGGTTTTGCAGAATGACAATACGCGGTTTCGTACTTTAAACGACGATATAATTATGTGTTATTTGTGAACAAAATGTAGGTTAAGTATAATATCAATGCTTAATGACGAATAATCTATTGTAAGATTAAGTTTTAATTTTTAGGTATTTTGTCAATTTATTATGTAAAATTCCAAATTTCCGCATATATTTAAGTCTATTCCAAAAAAAACATGCTCCAACATGATGAGTAGATTTTAGTGCCCGTCACAAGCCACAGCCCGCGGCTACAAGCTGGATATCTGAATATTAGAAAATAAATAGCATTTATTATTAAAATTATAAGGCAAGTGTTTATTTACGAAATTACCTGTGTCACTCTGCCATAGTAAACATCAAAGTTTACTAAAAAATTTATAATTTATTAACTAGTGCTCGGAAATTTGAAATCTTTTTGTACACAAATACCGAACATCATTGCACAAATAACTAAACCGTACCGATTTCTTAAACTTCCATTAAGTTTATTAATGAGGAAAACACATTTTCCTGCGAATCCTGAAAACCTGCAAACCGTGCAGCATCTGGAACGCAACTTCTATTCATAAAATTCACATATGTACATACACTTCATCTTCCAACTCCAAGGGATCCGACGAATCTCGCAATTCCCTCCTTGCTTTAGCCAACTCTACTAATCTATTAGCTTCCACATCATCTTCCTCATACTAAACCATACTTCAACTGTATCCATTTTTTTAATTTTATAATAAGAGCAATTATTTTTAAAATGATGTAAATGAAACACTAAAGAAACAAATGTAAACAAACAAACAGCTGTTTACAATTCAGTCAACCATTCACAATAGTACAAATTTTTATCGATAAAGCTACACAATAGCAAAATAAAAGATGATCGTCTCGATCGACAAATTTATATTCTACTGCCAGTTGACACTCGCAATAGGGGCTTGTATATAGGGCCTGAGCACACTAGCCTGCTCACTCGGACTGAGCAGTCCACCACTCGAACGCACACTGGACTGGGCAGTCGGCCGAAAACAGGTTTCAGTTTTGTATACATGAACTACGCATGATGCTTGAAATACAATACCGGCGAACGGCAAACTTCGCCGAATTGGGCGATGCTGTCGTTCACCGTTCGCCCAGCTATTTCGCCTACTTAAACAGAATTAGAGCGGTAGCGAAAACAGCTGATCCCATTTGGTCGCCTTTATAATTTGGGTGACCATATTTAGAAAAAACTAAACCATATTTAGAAATGAGGAAATGATAACAAATATAAATGTAAAACAAAGAAAGATTATTATAAATAATTTGTTTCAAGCCAGATTTAACGAATCCACAACTATATTTTTCAAACAACAAAAAAAAATCGTGTTTAGGTTGTTTTCTTTTAAAACTTTGAAAGCAAAAAACAAATACGGCCACCTTTGGCACGCACAGCTGTCATCGCCCAGCACCATAGAAATAAATCTATCGCCATGAAACGCCGCCAAGCGAACTTCGCATTTCGCTTTGGCTGTGTTCAATTTCATATGCTTGCGGGTGTTCTAATTTTGACAGCGCGAATTTCGCTGTGGTGAGTTCGCCGTTCGCCGGCATTGTATTTCAGCTATGATTGGGTTAGTGCATGTGGCACATGCAAACCAGCGTTGCCGCTTTGGTAATTTTTAACCAAAATTGGTAATTTTTTTCTTTATTTATCAAGTTTGGTAATTTGGTAATTTATTTTTCAATTTGGTAACTTTTTCAATTCGGTTTTATATGTCAAATAGGTCAATATTGGTTCTGATTCCACATTAGTAAGTGGACCGTAAGCGTTTCCTTTAATAGAAATACCAGGTAATCCTGAAAGTTTGGCAAGGCGAAAGTTGTTCCAGCATTCCTTGGCTACTAGAATGGTGTGTTCTTTAACAAACTGCTTGAAAGTGGCTTTTGCTAAGTATATCCACCGTGTCCTTTCATGGAAGGTTTTGGGTGGTCCTACCTTTCCCTGTCAGTTCGTCAGCTTTTCAATTACAATACGTATGTTCTCGTTCAAAAAGCTACGGCATTCAGCGGGGCTTCACTCTGTCTATGTGTGAGTCGAAAGCTTTCTTTCAAGCGTTGAATTTTTGATATATTTTCTTGTCACTTGTTTACATACAGTGGTCGAAAAAATTATAGCTGCACCATATTTTGACAAGTTTTAACATATTATTTTTTTAGTAACTTAATTTTGGTTATTTTTTAAAAAAATATTTTTCTTTCTTTAACAGAGCTCTAACAAATTCAAACTTTGTTCAATATTTAAAAAAATTCAACAAACTTTCGTAAAAATTTTAGGTTAATAGAGCGCTGATTGCCTGAAAAGCTTGGTATCTTTGGATATACATATATATCGAGCCCTAACTGCCAAAATAACGTAAGCTAAATTTTTTTCAAAATTTTCTTTTTGATGCTCTAGGAACATTTCCGCATCAAAAAGAAAATTAAAAAAAAAAATGTCGGTTACGTTATTATGGCGGTTAGGGCTCGATATGTATGTTTGTACAGTTCTGCACATAAAATAAGTTTGGTAATTTTTTGTTGAATTTGGTAACTTTTTCCGAGGATTT